TGGTTGCGAACTAGCTCTTCCGTTCTTTCCCTACTATAAGTATCTTGCTCTTTTCTGCGCTCACTTCCATGCCATATTTCCTTGCTGTTACATCCAATAATAAAGTTAATTGTTGAAGATCTTCTTCATTGCTGCAAATAAGATCTATGTCATCTGCAAAGCGTAGATTTGTTATTGTTTGTCCCCCAATTTTCACACCACTTTTAAACGTGTCAAACGAGTCCAAGGTGTCCATCATGATTTGTTCAAGGAAAATGTTGAAGAGTGTGGGTGATAAGACGCACCCTTGTCTTACGCCGACATTTGATTTGAACCATGGACTGTATTTATCTCCTATCAATACTGTGTTTTTTGCGTGCTCATATAGTGATTTAAGTACTGACACTATACTGGGTCTAAAGTTATGTTTCAGCATTTAACCATAACGCCTCATGCCACACACGGTCGAAAGCCTTCTTGAAATCAATAAAATTGTGATAAACGTAATTTTGGTGCTCTATGTATTTTTCGTTTATGTTCTCACGTTACCGATTTGTTCCACGGTTCCACGTCCTTTAGTGAATCCCGCTTGTGCCTCGTTTATAATTTCCTAGCTGTAGGTTTCATTCTAGATAGTAGAATATTGAGTAATACTTTGCTTGAGTGGTTAATAAGGCTAATTGTTCTGTTATTTTTACATTTTTAGTATTTCCTTTCTTTGGTAGTGGGACCATTATTGATTCAGTCCATCGACCGGCCATTCTCCTGATTCAATAATCATGTTACAAATTTTGTATAGGATGTCTAACACTGGATCACCACCTGCTTTCAGAAGCTCTGCAGTGATATTATCTGTCCCTGGTGACTTGCTATTCTTTAATTTCTTAATGGCTGCAATTATTTCATCTTTAGGATTGGAGGTTCTTCAACACATTGATGTTGTGTTACTTCTTTGGTTAGTCTAGTGAGAATTTCCGGATCTTTTTGGACTTCATGGTTATAGAGTTCTTCACAATATTCTTTCCATCTGGTCAAGATGTCATCAATATTTGTTAGCAAATTCCCGTCCTTGTCTTCAATTACTTTGGTTTTAGGTCGCCACTTCTGTGTGAGTCTTAACCATGTTGAATGCTTTTTTGCTGTTGTTCAATTTTATGCTCTGTTCAATTTCTTTGCACTGTTCGTTTATCCACATTTCCTTGGCTTCCTTGATTTTTCTTCTCACTCTTCTATTACAATCGTTATACTCCTTACTGTTAGTCGGATTTTTGTTTCGATTTGGTTTTAATGCCCTTCTTTCATTACAGGCCTGCAGCACTTCCGCTGTTACCAAGGATGTTTTCCTTTTTATATGTACCCAACATATCCATTGCCGTGCCATTTATAGCCTTCTCCATTTCTGTTGATATTTCTTGTATGTTATCTAGTAAAAGTAATGGTGCAAATTTTCCACCAAGTGTAGCACGGAATTCTTCAATTATTGTTGTATCATTGAGTTTATTAATGTCATAACATAACCTTGTATTTTCTTTCTCTTGTTGACTTTCATGTCATCATTAGGTCATGATCGCTACCGAGTCGCACCAGGAAATACCCCGAGTCTTCGCTCCATTTATTCCAGACTGGTATCTTTTACTAACCAAAATGAAATCGATTTGGTTGTGACGTATGCCTCCTGGTGAGTGCCATGTGGTGGTCCTAGTTATCTTGTGCTTAAACAGAGTATTGGCTACCACCAGTTTATGCTGTTTTGCGAATTCTAGTAATCGATTTCCTCTTTCATTTGTATTTTTGAGTCCGAATTTTGCCAATTGTTCCTTTCCATACATCATAAGCATCTCTGCCTATTTTAGCATTCCAATCACCTTGAACTATTAAGACATCTTTCCCTGGTATTTGTTTGATTCTTTCCTCTAATTCCTTGTAGAATTGTTCCAGTATTTCCTCATCAGATGCTTTTGTTGGGGCGTAGACCTGTATAATTGATATGTTTTGTGGTTTTGCAGCTAGTCTGATACTGATGATTCGACTTGATATTGGTGTACATTCCAATACAGATTTCACACTATTCTTATGAACAAGGAAACCAACTCCTTTCATGTGTTCTTTTTCCTCTCCGGAATACCACAATTTGTGACCTCTTTAGTCGCAATCTCTGCTGCACCAGTCCATCTTGTTTCTGCTAACCCTACGACATTCCATTTATAACGTTCCAATTCATATGTTAGCTCCTTTAGTTCTCCCTGACAGTACATAGTTTTTACATTCCATGTCCCAGTAATGAATTTATTCTTCGCTAGTTTAAGTTTGATTGTTTGATCCTCAGTAACATACTTTTCACTTCCATCCTGACGATCGTCGATGGATAGCGCAGTCGTTGTTAAACCGGGCCCCGACTGATCCTGGTATGAAAATCCTTTTGGGTTGAGTCATCATTAGTGTTTCAAAAGGCAAGAGTAACCTGGTGGTGCCCATCCCCTCCCCAGGTATGGAGGGCCGTTGGCTCATATAGAGCTCATCTGCCCTTTGACAGGTCTTGTTTTTAGTCCTGAAGGGTGTCCACACACCCTCCTCATCAGGCGAGACCTGATGGGGTAGCCGGTTTAGTCGCCGACGACCCGACCATGAACCAGGTGGTACTGGGCTACATGTTACCAGTAGCAAGTCAGAAACTGACCTGACCTGACCAATATATATATATATATAATATATATATATATATATATATATATATATATATATATATATATATATTTATGTATATATATATGTATATATATATTTTATATATTTATGTATATATATATATAATATGTATATATATATATATATACATATATATATGTATATATATATATGTATATATATATATAATATATACACACACACACACACACATATANGAGAACAGCATTTTATGGACCTTTGATCTAGTATAAAGAAAACTATTGGAAATCTTAGAACATGTTGACTTTATCTTTCTTATAATCAATGTTTATGAAATAGGAAAAAAATAACTGGATAAGAGGTAAAGTAAAATAAATCATATCAAAAGTTTAAATCAACCAGATGAAAATACCGAATCAGAATGGATTAGATAAAAAAAAAAAATCAAATCAAGTAGAAACTATATATAGATCAAAATAAATTGAATAAAAAAATAATGACAACACTCGCCTTTCTCTTTAATAGCAGTGTTGCCAGAGTCATAACGCCAGACCCGTTCCTTTATTGGCAACGCTGCCGTACTCCACGATGCTTGCCCGACCTCCAAATAAGGCTCGTGTAGTGTCGCAATGACGGCTCTCATACATACATACATTCGCACACGGAGCGGAGAGAGAGTGTCGGATGTATGTTCTGTGTGTGTGTGTGTGTGTGTACACGTCACACATACACAAACATACACACACACACACACATACACACACAGATACACACACACACACACACACACACTCACACACACACACACACACACACGCACACACACACACACACACACACACACACACACACACACACACACACACACACATATATATTGTGTGTGTGTGTGTGTGTGTGTGTCTATGTGTCTGTATGTATGTATACATAAATAGATAGATAGACAAATAGATAGGTAGATAAATATATGTATCACCATAGATATATAGATAGATAGATACACAGATGAAAATATGTGTGTATCTATGAGCTTACCGACACGTGCATGTGAAAGCCACTCATGAATTATACCAATTATACCAATTACTTGTTTTTTTGTTGTTGTTTTTTTTGTTATTTGTTTTGAATTACTTGTTCTTCGCCAAAGTTGTTCTCCAAGAACTTGACTCTCACAGGCTGCCTTGTTCTCCCCTCAGCTTCTACGGGGAAAATATCGCCCTGGTCGGTGCCTTACGAAATCACTTCTGTCCATTAGTCTGTCTGTACGAGGGTTTTGCAAGTCTGTTGGTGATCATAACCCTTTTGAGTAGATCGGGCAGATTTTTCTCTCTTCTTCTTCTTCTTCCTCTCTTCTCTCTTTCTTCTTCTTCTTCCTCCTCCTCCTCCTTAACCTCTTATTCTTTTTCTTCATTTCTTCTTTTCCCTTTCTACTTCTTCCTCCACCTCTTCTTCTTCTTTTCTTCTTGTTTTCCTCTTCTTCTTCTTCTTCCTTCTTCTCCCCCTCCTTCCCTTCTTTTTCCTTTTCTCTTTATTCTTCTCTTCTTCATCGCCTTCTCCTCTTCTTCCTTTTCTTCTTAATCTTTTTTCTTCCTTCTCTCAACGTTCTCTCCTCCTCCTCCTCCTCTTCCTCTCCTTTTCTTCTTCTTCTTCTTTCTTCTTCTTCTTCTTCTATGTATTTCTCTATTTAATATCGAAATCATGGCTTTATCTATAACGTAATAATTAAAGATTACATGTAATGCATAATATTTTTCAAGATTTTCAAAAATATTTACAGTGGAAGGGAATTTACAGGAAATTACTCTTATTGTGTTAATATATGTATAAAGATTTAGAAGCACATACATATATACTGTGAGTATGTATTTTGTACATAGATAGATAGATAGATGGATAGATGTAAATAGATAGATAGATAGGTAGACAGCTAGACAGATAGATAGATAGGGAGATGATGAGATAAAAAGAGAAATGGATAGATAGACAGGTAGACAGATGAAAATATAGATATGTGTGTGTATGATTGTTAGCGTGTGTGTGCGTGTGGATATGTATATGAATATATGTGCATATGTACACACACGCATACATACATACACATACACAAACACACACACATACACTAACACACACAGATAGATAGATAAATGGATAGTGTGTGTGTGTGTGTGTGTGTGCATCTATTCATCTATCTATCTGTCTGTCAGGCTATGTGTATGTGCGTGCGCGCGTGTGTATGCGTGTGTGTGCATTTATGTACATATATTCAGATATATACCTACACATACACATAATCATATGCATATCTACCAGCAAACATACACACATCTACATTTTCATTTATGTAGCCACACACACACACACACACACACACACACACACACACACACACACACACACACACACACAGACACCACACAGACACCACACACACACACACACACACACCACACACACACACACACACACACACAACACACACACACACAATAGATTATCATATACAAAAATCCGTAAACTTATCTCATATATACACGTGCGTATGTTTACGTATCTAACTATATTTCTACGTATCCATCTATCTAACACTAAAGAAATAAAGATAAAACAATAGACTTACAAATAGATGAATAGGTAGATGGACCGATAAAAAGACAGAAAAAATAGACGGATAGACCAACAAATAGAAAAAATAGACATATAGAAGAACAAACAAATAAATAAACAGACATATTTACCATAAAAACAGGCAGAAAAAATAGACAGTCGAACAAACAGACCGACAGACAAATAAACAGATAGAATATAATAGACAAACAGACAGAAAATAATAGACAGAAAAACAAACAGAAAATAATAGACAGACAAACAGAAAATAATAGAAAATAATAGACAGAAAAACAAACAGAAATAATAGACAGACAGACAAAAAAATAATAGACAGACAAACAGAAAATACAGACAGACAGACGAACCAAACAGACACTTAAAAACAGACACAGACACATGTATATTCACGAGTGTAGCTGCGTCGCCGAGCGTGTAATTCTCAGGAACTTTCACTTGCTGTACAAACCCAAAATGTTACGCTTTTATCAGGATGGCGATTGTGACGGGCCAGCGGTGACGGCGACCTGGTCATTGTGACGTGACGAAATGGGGTAAAAAAAAAAGAAGAAAAAGGAAAGAAGAAGGAAGAAAAGAAGAAGAAGAAAATACGTAGGTGTCGTCTGTATATTTTGGGGGAAAAAACGTATGTGGGTTTGTATATTGGGGAAAAACACTATTAAGAAATACGTAGGTGGGGTTTGTATATTTGGGAAAAAATACGTAGTTGGGTTTGTATATTTTGGAAAAAATACGTAGGTGGTTTGTATATTTTGGGGAAAAAAATACGTAGGTGGGTTTGTATATTTTGGAGAAAAAATCCGTAACTGGTTTGTATATTGTGAAAAAAAATACGTAGGTGGGTTTGTATATTTTGGGGAAAAAAAATACGTAGGTGGTTTGTATATTTTGGAAAAAACGTAGGTGGGTTTGTATATTGTGGAAAAAAACGTAGGTGGGTTTGTAAATTGTGAAAAAATACGTAAGTGGGTTTGTATATTGTATGTATGTGTGTGTGTGGGGGGGGGTAGATGAGAGAGGAGGATTTATTTGCAATATTGTTGGGGATTTCGTTGGTTTATATTTTCATTTATTTTATTTATTTTTTTCTAAGGAAAGAGGGTGATATGTATATGCTTTTCGGGATTATGGAAGAATGGGGGATATATGGGACTTATTAACTAATATGATTATTTATCATTACACTATCATCATTATCATTATCATTATTTATTTTAATATCATCATTATTATTTTTATCATTATTATTATATTTATCATTTATTATTGTTATTATTCATATATTATTTTTGTTCTAATCACTATCATTATTTCATTATTATTATTATTATCATTATATTATTACTATTATTATTATTATTATATTATTATATTATATTCATTATTATTATCATTATTATCATTATTTATATATTGTTATCATTGTTTATTATTTATCATAATCATTCATCATCAATATCATTATTATCATCTAATTTCTCTTAAAGGAAAAAGGATGCCATGTGTATATATTTCAGGAGGGAGTATGGAAGGAGGTGAAGGAGGAGGCTCAGAAACACACACACACACATGATAAGCACACAGTTGGTGGTGTTGGTGAGGAGGGCGAGGAGTTGGGGAGGTTTATGTGGTGGTTAAGGAAAGGGAGACGGGGAGGGCGAAGGACGGTGGGAGGGAGGGGGAGGAGGAGGGGAGGGAGAGGAGAGAGAGGGGTGGTGGTGGAAGGAAGGAGGCGAGGGAGGGAGAGGGGTGGTGGAAGGGTGGGAGGGCGGGAAGGGTGGAAGGGAAGAAAGGAGAGGGGAGAG